CTGTTTTGACCGGCGATGATCACAAGTGTGAGCTGTAAGAGAGGAAATACCACATGGTTAAAAAAACGTGTGTTGCGTTTTTTTCATTCCACTGCCCTGAGTCTCATGGTTTTAAACTCAAAAGCATGTTCTGTGTGAAAAGTCACTAAGGCATCTCTAATTTTATTGCTCACACTTGTGAAAAGCTATTTTATTTATGCTTTACATTGCCAAATATATGAAGGACTGTTGCACAGTACTGTATAGATAGATGAATGCCCAAACTGATTTGTAAATAATGCTGTTATTCTGTGATGAAGCTTCATTGGTTTTCAATCACATGCTGTTCTGTAGAGAGTCAATGTCCTATTCAACTCATCCCACGGAGAGCTGTTGTGAGGTACGGTGACGATGTTTCAGCTGACTACAAAACTTCAGTCCCACATAAAGGGATGGGATGGGAAGCCAGTGAGGGAGCAGTGACCATGACCAGAGACAGTCTGATCACATGGAGAGTGTCAAATCTGATAGAATGGGACATACAGCCATACTGCTACATAAACCATGAGGAACAGTGTCAAGTAGAGCTCCCAGTCACTATTTACAGTCAGTTTCCCTGTTACTTATATTTTTTGTCTTTTCATTCTCAAAAATATCTAATAAATGTACATTCATCACTGCAGATTTCAGAGTTTGTAAGTCTTCCTCCTCAGAGACTCCAGACAGTGTGTCCATCAGCATTGTGAATCACAGAGGACCAATGATAGAGGGAAAGCAGTATGAGCTCCAGTGTGATGTTCACGATGTGGCTCCAGTTCAGGATCTCACTGTCAAATGGTACAAAGGACAGACTCTGCTGAATCAAACCACCTTCACTGAGGATAACAAGACTCCAGTGAATGAAACCACCACACTCCTGATCCGTCCAGACAGAGCTGATGATGGAGCTCAATACAGGTGTGAAGCAGAGCTGGAACTGGGAGCAGAAGGACCTCAACCTTCTCCAAAAGAAACATCAGGACGTCTTAATGTTGAGTTGTACTGTATGTTTTTTTATTGCTAAGCTTGCCGTATAATTCAGTTTATATTTTCTGAATGGCCTTCTAGTGTGAAGGATGTGCAACAGTCATATTTCATCACATGCATATAATTGCTTATTAACACATAATTTGATCGAATATTACACATTATGAATAGAATTAACACAGATAAAAAGGTTTCAGTTGTACAGTATTTTTCTGATCTGTTAATAACAGCTGCTCATCATGGTGCTGTTGTGCTATTAAATGTCTCTCTGTCCTCCTCAGATAAACCAAAACACTCCAATTCAAGAGAGACCATCATTAAAAACGACGAGGTCATGCTAAACTGTACAGTGAAGGCAAACCCGGCTCCTAAGTACACATGGCACTCAGAGCATCTGAAAGAGGAGTTCAGCTCCTCAGTGCTCCAGTCCTCCACAGTCCTCCTCAGTCCAGGAAACTACACGTGCACCGCCACAAACTCTCTGGGAAGTGACAGCAAAGTGTTCATCATCAAATCTGAGCAAACAGGTTAGTTTTGATTGAATAAACACTAATCTGCCTCTTTGCCTTCGGGCAGTTTAAAGTTACATTTACAGATTTTTACATTTTTAGGGGCTGTTCACACACAATTCCACTACTACGCAACATTTCCATAGTTTTTTTGTGTAAACACACTAGACAGATGTGTTTGACCGTTGAGCTTGTGTCTTGCATCTTTTGCAGCATCTTGCACATGACACAGCATTCTAAAAACACAGTACTCAAGTTAAAAGGTTGTTCAACTTTTTAAAAAACGGGTCCCAAGACCTAGCATTTTTCCCCATTCCACTGCATACATCTCGAATTTTTCAAAGCGTGAACCTGTGTGAACCAGTCCTTACTGTTTAATAGGGCTCTGCAGTGATGACTTATTTTTCTAGGCCAGTCCGAAAGTTAGCATTACCTAGGATTTTGGATTATTTCAGAAAATAAGCTCTGTGACCAACAAACGTTTATGATTCTTGCACATTTTGTTCATAATGATAATCTCCATCTTCAATTATGAAGCCTAAAATTGGCAGAAGAAAAAAGCTAAACATAGGCTAGAAACAAACTAGACCATGGTCACATGACTTCAACATCGCTATAAAGCCAAAGTTCTGTCATGAAACTCTAGATGGCGCAGTCCAATAGGTTGTAACTCAATCTGACATAATGTCATCATTATTCACATGGCGCAGCTGATTGGATTCTTTTCGTATCAGCAGCCAATGAGCTTGCTGCTCAACATTCAAATACTCAGCTAGCGCTTGCTGTAGCAGTTACAACGTGCTTCAGAAACCCTCCACCTTCCCCAGCTCCACCTGTATAGACCTTTTACAGGGTAATTTCATATGTTATATAGGGGGTTTATGTGTTATATGTGCAGCAGCAATATTTCCTACATGCTCACAGCAGCATGTCTGTGGATGTATTGGCAGTAGCAAGTCTCGGTACTTGCTCTGCCGCAGCAGCGTAGCAGATCTATTTAGCTAAAACCAAACACATTAGCATTGCCATGTAAATTACCATGCTAAACTTTCAGAGAGCTGTCATGACAGAACTATGCTTCTGACGAGTCTTTTAGTCTTTATTTATAAAACATTTTCCCTGAAAGTTTGAGTTAGAATAATTTTGGCTGTAAAAGTGGACTAGTTTTCTTGTTTGGCGTGATGATGTTTAATGTCCCTGCTAACCTCTAGTTCCATTTAGCCACTTGTTAGCAACCACCATTTTTAAGACAAAAAAAAAAAGCTTTAAAAAAATTACTTTTATATCATAGAATATAAACACAGACCTTATTTCAGGCATTTAACCAAAAACCCATTCACTTCCAGACAATTCATAGTTTTCACGTGATGTCACACCCTTACAGGAATGCCCACAAGGCTTTCCTCCACTGACCACCAGTTATTTTTTAGAGGTTTGCATTAAGTAGTAATGTAGTAAGACAGTGATATTAAAAGATAAAATTCAGTATACACCTTACTTTCTACAGGCAAGCAGATGCAATTCAGCTCAAGCAGTTTAACGTTAAATAATTTCCCATAGCAAACCACTATAAAGAAAACACTTAACCATTTAGCACATTGCGTTCATATTCCGAGCTCATTTGCTTGCCTGTATAAAGCACGCATCATCAGTAAGGTGTGTACTGAATTTGTTCTTTTAATATCTCTGTTTTACAGGCACTTTAAGTCTTTTCACATTAAACTTTTTAGAATGTCCTGCTGTTTTCAGTGATTGAAATATTGCGGCAGGTGCTTGATATGGATTGCAATTTTTTTTGTTAACATATCTTTGTTTTATTCTTGATCTAAATATTTGAGGATTGGAAACAGATAGAAAATTGACAGGCTTGTGCTGCAGTTCTATGGATGTTTCGCCCGCCAGGTCTTCAAGCCAGTCATGTGACTGAAAACTATGAATTGAACCAGAAGTGCTAAAATGCTTACTCCTTTTTTTTCTGCGTTTTGGCCTACAAAATTCTGTCATCCATGCAGCACTATATAACAATGACTTCTGATAAGCCTAAGCTTATGTTTGTGTTACAAATCTGCTTGTGCAATTTTCTAAGCATTAAAGGGATAGTTCACCCAAAAATGAAAATGTTATGTTTATCTGCTTACCCCCAGGGCATCCAAGATGTGGGTGACTTTGTTTCTTCAGTAGAACACAAACGAAGATTTTGAACTCAAACGTTGCAGTCTGTCAGTCCTATAATGTAAGTGGATGGGAGTCAAAAAAACACACAAACAAAACCAAATTAAACCCAGCGGCTCGTGACGATACATTGATGTGTAAAGACATGAAACGATCGGTCTGTGCAAGAAACCACCTATCTCTCAAATGGACCATTGACACTATCTACAATCTCAATTAGGAGTGTCA